TCAAGACATTAATTAAGATGGAGAAGCATGATTTCCTGCCCTTGTCCTTTGAGACAGTCCCCTATTGTGTAAAAACAAGCACATTAATTTCAAGTTATGGTGTTCATCCCCTGCTTAGGCAGAAAGTCACTAACAATGCAAAAATGAATTCAAAAGCATTCAGCCCTCAGAAAGCCATTAACTGTTGCTGGACTATAGCCATGATGGAAGGAAAACAAAGCTAACTAAGGGCAGAACGAGGATAGAAAGCAATCTCTGGGTCTGCAGACTCATTTCTGCACTTACTCATAACAATTTCTCAGATCAGCAAAAGAACAATTGCAGCTGATTATACCACTCTCCATGGGCTTTAAAAAAAGCCTCTAGTAGAAAGCGATATCAAATTCCATTTGGCAGCTCTGTCCTTGTTAGAGTTATTGCAACTTTCAGGCTCCTGAAGGTTCACTCGTAAGTTGGATCTGGCCCTCCTAAGATGGGGAGGAGTGCAATTTCACAGCTGCTATCAAACAGGGATTCCAAGCATGAATTTCATCAATAAAAATATTCCCTCACTGTGTGGCATGTAATTCTGAGAAGCTTTTGCTAGTTGTAAACCAATCTGAGGTCCCAATATCATTCTTTTTTACTACTTCCCAAAGTACATCCATATCAAAAGGCACTACGGTACTGTGTATGACAGAACAACCAGGAGTTTCCTGAGAACTACTTTCTTGCCCTACAACCAGTTTGAATGGGACTCTCTGAATACACAGAGCCTGTTGTTGTGGGAGGTAATCTACTAAAACCATCTCTGACTATGTTTGCAGGACAGGACTGGCCTCTATGCTGGCAGCATATGATCACCAATACCCAAAGGAAGCAGAGTGACCAACTTTGATGGCTTCCCATCGAAGTGACCAGAAGTCTGTGTCTCTTTAACTTGGAAATTTGTTTTTTTTAAAAAACACAATGGATTTTTAACTCTCTCATCTCTGTTTGGGTGGCACAGCTCATTGATGGAAGTAGGTTAGGCCCAGAGAAACCTGGCTTTGTTTTGTGCTAAAGCAAAACTCTTACCCCAGGTTCAGTTAAGATCCCTGGATATACCATCCATTCTCTGAACATGCTGGAAGTCAATGCATCAGATATAACATTTGCACAGGCCAGAGCTTTCTGGACAGGAACATCTAATGGGTGTATGCCCAAACCATGCTATCAATGCCTACCTTTTATGTGAGTCAATGAGTACACACCTTGAACCTATAAATGTTGGACCTGCTGTACACATAATTAATGTGAATATGATATAGAATAAAGGAGGTTGAGGAGAGCAGCTAGTTAGGCAAGGTCCTGTCCTCCAGTGGGTTAAGCTCTGAACATTTAGAGCCTTATCTGAATATAGCTTGGCTTACAAGTCAGACTCTAGTACTTTTGGTATCACTAAATATATCCTTTGCAATTCCTTATGCTGATAATTAAAATTCAACTGGAGTCATAGGGAGTAAAGATTGCCAAAAGCAGTCATGCTTGCTGAAGCTGCTGCTCTGATGTTCCAAGCAGGAAGGATGTTTCTGTTTTTCCTCCAGCTGGTCCTAGAGAAATGTTCTTCTGCCTATATATATAATTTGATAGTGCAGGATATCAGCTGTCCATTGCAGACAGTCATGCCGTACTGTGGACAACTGGCTGATGTCACTGCATAATTTAGAAAGAGGAGGGGGCAATTATCTCTCCTCATATGTGAAAGCAGTGCCATAACCCGCTACAGTTTGCTACTGTCACAGAGTAGCAGACCACATAATGGTGGCAAAATTGCTATTCTGTTGCCAAGATTGGGGGGGGGAAAGAGAAAGAGCATATATTTGTTCTATTATGATTTATCTCTATTATGATTTATCTCTATCAGTAGTCATTCACATGGAGGGATAGAAATATATAAATGGAGGACTGCTAAATGGACGAAGATAATTTGTGGCCAACAGGAAAAAGTCCTCAATTGTTTATTTGTACATACAATGTTTTTTTTAAATTGCTTGTCACGTTCAGGTTAAAAAAATACATAATATCCAACGACTGATGTTTTTAGATTATATGCTTAGAAGATCAGGACCCTATTAAAACATTTTTCCCCACTTTCCTTTAAGGCAAATCAAATCATAGACAAGCATTCCCTTTTTTAAATTCTAGTTAGATTAAAGTATATGCACATTTACAATTGCAATCCCAAAGTTTATGTCTAGATATTAAATTAAAAGTTTATCAGAAAAGAAAAACCCTTTTATATCTTATTCTACAGTTGACTTTATGGTGAAATATTTAATGTGAATGCACCATTTTTTACTTCACATATAAATCCCAATCTAAATTTAGTGAGTGGTGGCCACTCTCTCCAAAATGGGATATTTTGCTTTATGGTGGTATTTAAAACGCACATACTATTTCTCTGAACATATAATCCATCAGTGCATTTTTCTTAAAAACTCATTCAGAATCTAGCTGCTTCAGCTATTGGAAATGCATGTTTTGTAACTCAATTTTAGGTGACAGCATAATAACTTTTAAAAGCCACAACTAAAACAAATAGCCTGTTCTGCTGTGGATACTGAAGCCAACAATCCATTGTAGCAGAAATCTGAAAATGAATACATACAGCACAGTCTTCAAATATGACTTATTTTATGGAGCCATATCATTTGACATTTATCCCACTGCTTTATTTTCAGTTCATACAAATTTGCTACAAGGGCAATTCAAAAGGGAAAGGCTCATTCTTTTTTCAGTTTCTCCTCTTCACTGCTATTCTTTGCATGGATGTCTTGTCTTGGCCCACCATGGAAAGAAATTTCTGAAGTAGACTGATGCTCTTTATTCTTTTTTAAATGAAGGAGGGAAGCTAATTAAAATCAACTGGATGTATCTGAAGTCCTCTTGACTTCAACCTCTCTATCTAAAGAATCAAACTGCATTCCCAACTTGCTGATTGTTAAGATCTGCAGGAGAGAGAGGCTGTTCTGAAGCTGCCCCCAATGTCATCTGGCAAGTGGGAGACGGCCTTCTCTTGCCTTGCTCCCAGGCTATGAACTACACTCCCTCCAGAGTTCCAGATGTTCTCCACTCATTGTAAAAATGCATCTTTTTTGCCAGGCTTTTAATGTTAGAAGTTACAATATTTATTGCTAATATTAATCTGCAATTTGTAAACTTTACCTTCTGTTTTGTTTTAAATTTAAATTAAAAATTCAATTTAATTAAATTTGGAGTGTTTACTACAGTCCCAGTTCAAACAATCAAATGAACAAATGCATGTAAACTCAAACAATATAGGCTACTTTACTTAAGACCCCTACCAATTAAGCACCAAACAATAAACAAGAGATTTAAACCGTGGAAACTTGGCAACAAGAGATCACTTATTATTATTTATTCAATTTGTATCCAGCCTTTCTACTCAGAGGGTGCTCAAGGCAGCTAATTCTCCTGCATGTGTCCACCAAGTTCTTGCTCCCCACTCTCCCTCTAGTTTTGTAGTAGCTTAGACTGCTGATAAGGAAGCTTATATTAACTGAGATCTCTGTCCTTAGAAAGCCCACTTTTGTGCTTGCTGTGACACGGATCTCAGGCAGAGGAGGCAGCAGTAGATAGGTCCCAGTGGCAAGGAAAAGAAGAAAAGATAGCTGGACAAAAAAAAAAAAAAGTAGTGGAGATTTCAGTAATATGGGATCTCAGATGACAGAGGTGGTGGCCTCGGGTGTCAGAGGAAAGGAGGGAAAATGGCATGATGGCATCTTAACTAAATCCTCCTCAAATGTGTTGTCCTTTTGCCCCACTGAATTGTCTTGCCACTCAGTCCATACTTTATCTTGCTAATCATCTGCCATGGGGTACTTTATAAAATGCTTTGCTGAAATTAAGATATATTATGTCTTTGGCATTTCCACAATCTATTAAGGAAGTTACTCAAGCAAAAATGAGAAAAGATTAGTCTGGCAAGATTTATTCTTATTATGCTTCAGGAAATTACTATATTGTTTTCATATTAATGTATGATGATTCATAGATCAACTTTTTTATCCTCTGCCCACAGGTATTGCTCAATGACTAGCCTTTAGTTTGCTGGATGCTTCTCTCCTTGTTTTGAAGATCAGTAGAACATTTGTTTCTTCCAGTCATCTGGTATCGTCTTCCTGTCATGTGGGATTTGTTTCCAGACCTTTACTAAACTTTTTTGGCAGCCACATTGATTTCTTTTGCTGTGTTCCATTCTTTCTTTTCTTCATTTAATTGTTTGAAATTGTATTTAGGAACTTTAGGAACTCCATCTATCTTGAGTTCCATTTCCCATTATTCTTTTCTGGATCCTATTTACCATTGCTTTGAATTTATTACAATCCACTACTGAAGTCCAAGATACATGTTTGATTATGCTTGGTTTTAACTTCCCTTAAAGTCAAGAACTACAATGTTTATGGTCACTTTTCCCCAATATTACTGCTGCCTCCATTTCCTCAACTAAGTTTTCCCTTTCAGAAAAGAAAACCTTCTTTAAATATAAAATAAGACATCTGACTAGGTTTTTCCTTCAAATGCTAATTTTTCTGTTTGGTAAATCTATCTATCATCTGTATTTTCATGGGGACAGGATCAAATATACTGTATATCTTCCATGTATCCTTCCATGTAAATTTGTGAATTAAAAAAGGTGATTCTGCAGATAACAACAACCCCATATTTCTTATACCCTGATTAAGAAAAGTTATGGGTGTGATTTGCTTCAGTGTTTAAGAATTTTACATTTAATAGAAGGAAAACAGTAACATCTCCTCCTCTGGGGGAGATGGGCAGCATATACATTTAATAAATAAATAAATAAAAATGTAAATAAACATATTTGCATTACTCTTGGAAGCAGTGTAATAATCATATTTAGTGCATTCTTATACCCAGTGACTCAGGAATAAGCATAATTCAGCTCCATTTACTTCTGAATAGATATGTCTAGATTAGCATTGTGAGATGTTTACCTTTTCTGCAGAAAGGGCCATCGTATGCTGTCTGGGAGCAGTCGCATGAGTATCCATTGTATTTTTCAACACATTTGCCACCATTTTTGCAATGTATCCCATAGCTTGTGCAATGGCCAGAACAACCAGGTTTCACACCTGGTGTGACTTTTGCTCTTTCTTCTAAATCCAGAGTCAATCCATTCATTCTTAAAGAGCGAATACAGCCCAAAAATCCTTTCTGTTCACCTGCAGCACCTGAAGAACATAACATGCTAAATGAAAAATGAACAGAACGAACACAAAATTACAACTTCTAATAATGAAGAATAGATTCAACTGAAATCCAGAAGCCAAGTAAAGCCTTATAAGTGGAATCTTATTCTTTCCCAGTTGCCATCCCAAAGTTTTAAGGATATGGACAGAAGGGTATCTATTCCAATAGGTCTAACTGAGATCCCATTAAATTTTTGGGTGGGAGAATGAGATTTGCCCTCTTCAGAGCAGCCCTTCTAAAAGTGCAAACGTGGGAAAGTAGATTAACCTGAAAGACAGAAATTTACTCTCTTGCTAAACAGTGGCCGTTAGGCCTTAAAGTAAGCAAGTCCAGAACAAAGAAATAGGATAGAACTCAAATTAAATGAATAAAATACAGCCATATTAAAAACAACAGTTGCAATTAATAATCTGAAAAAGGAAGGAGCAGACAAAAGAGATGTTCAGTTCATCTGCAAATACATTATCATTAAGCATCAACAGCGGAAACTTATCTAAACTTATTCCTCCAACAGCTGTTGTATTGATTCTTTGCATTCCATTGTTACCATGGTTAGTAATAATAACTCAAATCATTATGATTCCAGATTGCTGTCAATAATTATTAGATGATGATCTAGTAATCAGATGATGATGATGATGATGATGATAATGCAACAATAATGTACTACTATTTTCTAGTATTTAATAGAAACTCAGACATAAACCTTAAAATCTTTATGGAAGCAAAATTGGAAAAAGATAATCCAGCACAGAGACATTAAGAAGTATGCAGAAAGGAAAGAAAGAGTAACATGTTTAAAAATTCCTCTCTCACCCCTATGGGTGG